TGTTTATTTTCTTCCAAATCCTTTAATATATTTCCATACTGGTCTCGTATGTGCTTTGTGTAAACATAGCCTGCAGTTCAAACAAAAAGTCACTGAATGTTTGTCACATGATTGTTGGTCACAGCTCCAATGGCTCTTCACTTCTCAGGTGCATTCAGTGCAGATCTTCCTTTTTTTTTTTTTTAGCAAAATCTGGTGCAAACTACTTTTACAAATCCTTTTTTTTGTTTGTTTGTTTTTGACAGAAAACTAGATCCATCCAAAAAAGTAAAGTAACTCTTGAAGAGAGGCTGTGAGACACATGAATTTTGTCTTCGTCATGTTTCCAATTAAACATACTGAATGATTGTTTCCGTTATTTTTGTCATTCTCCACTCCTCCGTCTCCCTCCTTCGCACCTCGGTGAGGAAAAATCTTTAAACTTCTTTTATCTTTTCCTGAACAATCCTGAAATCCACCAGACCCTCACCAAGGGTCAAGATAGAGGTCACAGGGTTAAAAAGGGTTGAATGAAGGTAAAAAAAATAAAAAAATAAAAACAAGACTTCACAAGATTTTAAGCAGAGATTTGGTTAATTTCCTCTGACAGAGCAGCACATCACACATGATTCCTTCAAGGACTGTTGGAAAGCTCCTTTGATTGCTTCTGTTTTCTGGTTCTGATAAATGATGTAATTTTGCAGATTTTAATTGTATTTTTTTTTTAAAGGTGACAGGCCTTTTTAACCCACCAGCAGGTTTTAAGGTTCAGGGATTAAAAGAACTGAGATGTAACTCTACACAGCTCTAGAATGAGCAGATCTATGAAGCTCCCATCTCTTTCTATTCTCACTACTCCACACTTGCTGCAGCTCAAGCACACCAGCTCAGCTTCAGTCATGCTCAAACACTGTAAAACTACTTTACATTATAAAATGGCAAGCTGTAATATTGGAGTCATTCAGCCACTACAACCCAGAAACCAGATCTGAAACAATGATGCCAGACAGCTCAGTGCTAGAAGGTGACAGGATTGGATCTCTGAGCTTGTTCCATATGAAACCATTGGTACGTTTCAGTTCTTAAAGTCCCCTATAGCTAATTAGTGCATTAACAATGCTAAAAATATAAATGTTTTCATCACCTGAAAGAGGTTTTTAAAAGAATCAGTCAGGCTACAGTAGGGGGTGAAAATAATTTAGTTTTACTGGCACTACAACAAGTGCACATAAATATTGTAATAAAATGTACAATAACCTGGTAATATACTTAATTCTTCACTTAGTTTTCTTCTTCATATGATGCTAAACTGTCACTGCCAAAAGTAAAAGCTGTAAGACACGTCAAGCGTCAGTGTTCCTCAAACAGAAGCGAACACAACAACAGCATTTCCTCTAAAACGTACATGTAGCGAGGCCTTGAACCAGAGACTAAGTCTTCAAAGATTAATTCTCTTCTGTGATCCTGTTCTCATTACAAGAAGCAGGGGACTCAAACGCACATAATAACAGGGCGGACTGCTGTTCCTTTGTAACATGTGGCTACCTAAATGATCCTAAATAAGATAGATGACAAGGATAAAGCAAATCATAATCGGCATTTTGCACAATGGAGCATAATAGTCTGTGGAGAACAAGGGACAGCATACAGAGCTCCTGTTTCCATCGCCTGCAGCAGCACACCTAGTCGAGAGCAATTAAAATGAGAGGATTCAATTTTGTCAAACACCAGGAACCTAAGATAAATCTTGTATCTCATTTTCCAGCGGAGGACACTCCCTCACGCCGCCGCTATCATGTTTGTTATGGTATTTTTCAGAAACAGCTGGCTACTGACGGAGTTGCTAAAACAGCCCCCTTCCCCAAATCATGCTAATCCCAATCATTTCAGCGTGAGACCCAGGGGTGAGCGTGATGGAGAGTCGGGTGAGACTGTGAATAAAAGATGGTCTCAGACTGAAAATTTAGACAGAGCAGGAGGAAGAGGAGGAGGTGGGGGGGAGAGCAAGCCAGCACGTCGCTGCATGGTTTCCATGTGGGAGCAATCCACTTACTTGAACTGATAAAGATTTAATTAACACAAGACTCTGCAATTACTCCATAATTAAAGTAATTTGTCCTCTTGTTTGGATGAGTAGGCAAGACGCCACATGTGCCTCCATAAGAGCCAAAGAGAGGAAAAAAAAAAAAGGGCAGGAGGTGCTCAAGGAGGCAAACTCTGCTGCCCCAGTTTAACGTTGGAATTTAATGCTTGATTTTCCAAACCTATTTTCCCCACATATGTTCTAATAAAATATTTGTATCAGCTTCTCTTTAGCCTGTGTTTATTTGCCTTTTATTTGACAACTCATTTGTTATTCATTGAGAAAGTAATAAGCTGAGTAGGCTGAGTACAAAGTATCATCAAGAGCCACATGAAATAGTAAATAGGCCTGATATAATCATAATCCTCTTCAAACTGCACTGCATACAGCTTTGAATTGTGTAGTGCTACGGAGCCGGCTGCAAGCTAAAGCAGGAAAATACGGGAAAAGGAAAAAAGTGCCATGATTTTGTTTGACAATTCAAATTGCGGGGAATCAAAAGTGAGAGTCCGGTGTGAGCTGTTTGACCTTGGGCCCGGGTGAAGCCAGGTATCAGCGCAGGTGAGCAAAACAAGCCTCCACAACAAATAGCAGCTAACCTCACACGATGGAAAGAGTGAGGAATTAACGTCCAGCGTGCGCCGCCGTGCTGTGGCGGTCCAATTTGCCAGAAGATATTAAAAAAAAAAACAACTAAAACAACTGCCAAGTTTACTATTAAAAAACCAGGGAGACAAATGTGCCTTGTGTTTGCTTCTGAGGGTCGTATGTGCTGCTACTTAATTTACACGAGGGGAAGAGCACTATCGCTTATTTACAGATGATGATCTGCATATAATTTGCTTCAGTTGCACGCTGGGTAATTGAGGTAAATATCACAGCCTTCAACTTGCCAGCTCAGGTGTCCTGCCGGTAGCTTGGCGCACAGCCTGCAGCCACCTGTGGCATTTCACATGTTAGGTCTCAGGGCAGACGGGCCGCAAAGAAAACACACAAAGCTCAGGCTGGACCCTTTGAATTGGACCGGATGGAGGGAGGGTTCTGCTGTCTGACAGCTGGGTGACAGACAGCTGGTGCTCGTCTCGTTTCAACCTACACGCTGCTGGCAGGTAAAATATCCCAGAAAACGGCTCAGTCACTGTTTTCTGTTTTGTGTTTAAATGCTTTCAGTAGTTTCCTGACGACTGTCGTCATCCAGCTGTTATAATGAGTCTGGTAATTTAGTATAATGTTTATTATTGCAAGGTCTTAACCTTCATATTTAAAATTAGTCTGCTAAATGTGTAAAGTTAATCCTATTTCTCTGTTGGAAAGCTCTTTGGTTCGATGTCTGTTGTTTTAAATGTGCTATTTAAATACTGGAGGCTTGACTTGACTAATGGAGGACATGAACCAATAACACTGTGAAGCAAACAAACGCTATTTCATTACTGTCACTGTGCAGTTTCCTCCTCTTAAGACTTCTCCTTAAAGGGACACTCCACCAATTCCATGCATGAAGGTCAGTTTACTCTTCGAGCAGTCTGTGAAAAACCTTTTTAGAACGTTTTCTGTTACTCTGGGGGGAGGTTTTCAAACTTTACAAAAAAATATCTAGAATCCTGATGCTGCAGCATTTTTGAATGAGTGTAGAAATTAAAAGGTGGATCATTTCTGCCTTTCCTGCTTTGTTTTTGGTGATTCTCTTTTTGAGTTTACACTTTATAAATGTATTACCTCAGTCCTCGACTCTCTCCACAGAACACCTGTGTGTGTCTCGTGCACCATTTTCCTGATAAATTCTAATTAAACGAACAAGATGATGAGCTTTCTGTTGGTCAGCCGTTCTGTTTATTTATCAAACAGGAACTTTGCATGACGATTGTAACGCAGCTCAAATATGATCCATTTAAATGAAGTTCTGTGGCTGTTAGAAGTTAATTAGGATTCAAAAGGTGATGATAAGAGAACTATGGCTTCTGTAAATTTATTATAAAGAGCAGCATGAACCTTACTTTCTCATCCAGGAAACTGGTTCAAGAAAAAAAAAAAGAAAAAAAGAAGTATCATTCCACTTTATTTGCATAACCCTGCCCTGCTTAAGGCAGGGGAGCCACCGAGTGATCTCAAAATTAGCATGCTGTCACCTTCAGTGTCTCTTCTGTCATTCAGAAAAACAGGCAAGTGTGCAGACATATGAACCCATTTCACATCTACTGCAGAAATGTTAATTAGGAAGCATGGCATCCCACAGCTCCATTCCTCTCCCAGTGCCTAACTGACATGTTATGTATTTAAATCCCTTTCATGCGCCCTTATTATAGAGAAGATGAAGTCACATGCGAATGATGGAAAATGTCATCATCGTCATCGCCGTACAATGTTTTCTCTCTTTTTTTTTTTTTGCATGCGCATAAAAATAAAAGCTAAAAATTGCACACAACTGCGCGTATCTTCCAGGAAATTTGTATGTGCCGTGCCAGGATTTAGATAGGAAATAAAAGAACATTGTAATTAATTTGACTGTAGACGCAAAAAAAAAAAAAACATGTAATGTAAAAGATTAATCAGTGGAAATGTTAAATATATAGCCTACATACATCTCCTGTGGACGCCTAATTGCACATACAGAGGATTTCCAGCCATCTATAGGCGTGCCAATTTAGATAATTCAGTTGTTTCACATGTAGTTGTGATGTATTTATATGTAGTCTTTTTGATAATAAACATCAAACTTTCATTTCTTTGCCCCCCTTTTTTTTAGCTATTGGATGCTGCAGGCTCACTGGTTGGATGGGCATCTTTCCAGCAGCTCTATTGTTGAGGAAATAGTGCCCTCCTGTGGCTACAGCGACGAACTACACCCTGGTGTTTCTCATGCAGTCATTCTCTATGGCAAATATTAAGATGATAAGATAGAACATAACATGTGAGTAAAACAGACTTCAAGAAAATTCTTTGCCTTATCTAAAAAAAGAGAAAAAAAACACTGATAGAGCTATCAAAACTCAGAGCCATTTTGGCAACCAAGATAGCAGAGAAATGCTCATACAGAGGAATGATGAAACACATGTGTAACTGTGATTAAACATTGCTGCTGCTGCTGCTGCTGTGCTGCTTGTGTGAACACAGCTGAGACATCTGGAGTTCAAAGGCAGAAAAGCCAACAAATCCTCATCAACTGCACACACTCTTCAAATCAGTGGATCGTTTAAAAAATGGCCTCGAGTCCCTGAACGTTACCCACAAGTATGAGATGTAAACTGTCAGACAGAGAGAGAGACAGAGAGAGATGCAGCAGCGCATTTTTAAAAAATATTTTATTCTTTGCAAAGGAGGCATCGGGAGCATCAGTGCGTTCTATGGCTTGTGCACAGAGTTCCTGTAGGAGACAAAATCATAGAACAAGCCCTTGGGTGAACTGCGGGCCCCACCCATGTTTACCGAGGAGGAATGTTTGAGGCAGCTACTCTGCAGCTGTTACAGAACACGGTCTGAAGCAACGGGCACAGTGTCGGAGCTGAACGTGTGAGGAGGAGGAGGGAATGCTGCTCTACAGTATGTGACCCTGCTGCACGGCAGTTACACAAAGTGTGCACAAGTCCAGCGATTTTGCGGCGGGAGGGGAAGTGTTTAATGCTGCTGACATTTTTAAGAATGCAAAGTATGTTTCTCTTAGGAAGGAACCAAAAAGGAGAAAAAAAAAATATCCCAGTCGTCCACCACTGCTCAGAAAATCACATCTTTTTCTGTGGAGTCTGGGAGCCCTTAATCAAGGTGGATTTTACCTTTAGAGTTTTATAAATCATAGAACATTTGAAACACTATAAAAGGAACGTCACCCTGGACGTGTCGGAATTTTAATCCTCGCTATTATAATCGATAAGTTAGAGGCTACCCTCTACATGTGGGCACAGTCTGGTGAGCGAACATCGCAGAAGAAGAAGAAGAATGCACTGATTCGTCCCAGATTCTTTAGTTTCAATTCATCTGCTACTTTGCTGTGGACAACTTGACTCATCCACACACAATGGAACTCACCAAATTTGGCATGGGGTGCGATCGTATCATTGTTCTCGTGGAGCTACTGAGCAGCCTCGACCGTAATCCGGAGCTGTCAACATTCCACCATAGCAGCAGTTTGGGTTTAGGATTGTTTACGGAAACACTTTGGATTGGAGAAAAGAGAAAGAGAAAGAGAGAGAGAGAGAGAGAGTGGCCGTTACGTTGCTCACATGGCGAGAGAACAGCTCCTCCGTATATTTGGTATAATCTCTGGATGCTGCTGAGACTGTGCCCAGGTTCGACAAATCATTGGATCAGACCCAGCGTGGGATAAAGCTAACAACAGTGTTGATTGAATACAGTACATGTGTGTGTGTGGGGCAGGGACGCGGCTAGCTAGCGCGCAGGTGTGGCCGACGCATGTGGGTTTTTTTTACAGCTTCAGTGCTGCGTTTAACTGCAAACAGGCCTTACCTGTAGCAGGCCCAGCTATGGAGGAAGCGAGTCGTATAACTGGAGCACCGCCGGCGAGGAGAGTCAATGTATTTCAGTACATTCATTGTAAAAAAAAAAAAACCCTGCGACCTTGTTTTAGTTCCTGTGTTCTCTCTGGTAGCGTTTTGGGTGGTGGGCGAGATCATAGAAAAGGGGGATTGGAGGAGGGGGGTGAAATGATGCAGGGCGATTTAAACCGCCCCGGGGCACCCACACAGTCCAACCCACACACACACACACACACACACGCAATCACGCATACACTCAAGCATTCGCACACACACATTATATATGCAGGAGAAAAATATATTAACATTTGCATTACAAAACAGTACAAGGGCCTCAGTGTAGTAAAATACCTCTCGAGTCTAAATCCACGGGGGGGTCGTCGTCTCCTTGCGTCTTCTGTATGCAAAACTATCTCTCTCTCTTTACCTTCAACAAAATATCTTTTGTCATCTATGAAAAATATTCCCATACTTAACTGGGATTTGAGGCACTGGATTAGATCTCTGTACACGAAAAAGTCTTTGTCCCCTCCCTCGAAGTTTGTCGGGCGAATGGAAGCCACCTCCGGAGAGCTACATGATTTGGATGCCATTACGGGTTAAGGGCCAAGAGGCCAACGGGGACCATTTAACTAGTTAGCCATTAAACCCCCAAGTTTCTCCTGGCTTTTCTCCCAGCCAACAGTCCAGCTGTCTGGCTCTGTAAAAACTCTGTCTCGGGCCCACCGGGAACTCAACAATAAACCCCGGCCCCCTCTTTCTTTCCCCAACAGATCCAACTACACCTGCTCACTGTTGTTTGGTTCAGTCTGATTCATGAGCGAAATCAGTTCATTCCTTCCGCGACCTTACTTTTACAGCCATCTGATGGAAAACCAGCAGGCATTGTCGTTTAAACAGCCCAGCGCCGGAGCCTTGTTTAAAGTGGTCGGTTGGCAGGACAGCTAAAACAGTATTTCATTCTGGAGGAGCCATGCATTTGTGGTCCAGTGTGCTCCACGTCTCTGTATCCCACAGTGGCCATCCAAACAGCCACAAAAGGCCCTGAACAATCTGTAATGGCTCTCTGTTGTGCAGAATCCACAGTATATGACCAGAAGAAAAGACTTACTCCTTTCCACAGCTGGCTTACATGAACAAAAGAAAGCACAAAATAATCTGAACAGTTTCACAGCATGTTGGCCTTCCTGTTTAATCTTCTCTGCCAGAGCAGGACCCTCCAGCTCAGTCCACTGGGCCCTGGAAGATTAGCTTGGAACAACCCTGAGTGAGGCTGAGCTGGGTGGCACAGAAGGGGCAGGCGGCGTGGAAGGCGTGGGTGCCGTGGGGCAGAGGGATCTCCGCCCAGTACTTGACGGACTTCTCCGAGCACACGTGTCCACACGGCACGAAGGCATGCGTGGGCGCACCTGTGTCCACGTAGAAGGCCGGTTCGCAGCCCAACCACAGCGGAACGTAGGGCCCCACCACCCGGCACATGGGACACTCGCGCTGAGTGTTGGGCTCCTGCTCCGAGCGGTGGCCCCAGTTGTGGTAGCCGTGCACGTGGCCACACGCCAAGTAGACCCAGGGCTGCTTGTCCTCCAGGGATGAGAGGGCGCGGCTGCGTTGCATGCTGGGGAAGGCAAGCGTGTTGAGACCGACGGGGCACTGAGGCCGCGCTGCGTTGATCTCCTGCCTGAGAGCCTCCAGGTGCTTCTGGGTGGGAGTGTGGAAGAGGCCTTCTGCAGTGCGCCACAGCAGAGTGGCTCCACATAGATCCACCAGGGAGCCGTCCTGCAGGATGTTACTCTCATTCTCCACCTGAGGAGGGTGACAGAGGCGATGTACATTTAGTTTTACGTGCCTAAGACATAATAATTTGCTAAACACACTCTGTTCAACGATGAAACGTCTGCTGAATGCTCCGCTGTGCTTCTGTCATGCCACAGTGACACTTGGAGATACTGACCAGTTTGCCTGGGGTCTGTGCTGAGCGAGTCTCTCTCAGCGTGTAAACATCCCCACAAACAGAGATCTCTCTCCACACGCCGGGCTTCGACTCTTCCGTGAACCCACCCTTAGGGTGCATTACCAGCACGCCATTGGTCGTCAGGCCGTCCATGTGACCGTCAGGGTTTTTCCATTTAGCAGCTTTTTCCTGGAGGCGAGACAGAGCATAGATGATGACGCAAACTGATGTGCTGTGTGGCATTCTGCTTTTCACATAACGCTGCATGTGAGGAAAAAAAAGTTAATTCCTTTATCTGGTTATAATTTATAGATCTGACAGCATTAGAAACTAGACATATAATCTGACTTTTCAAAAAGCAGCGTAAGTAGAGATACTGGATAACCACCACGGTACACTGACTAGTAATTACCCCAAGGAAGATGTTTTTGGAAGAGTCAAACCCAGCTGCATAGATGCGAGCGGTGAAGGGAGGGTTGCGCTCGCAGACAACTCGGCAGGCAAAGCGGGAGATGGTGCTCTGCGTGATTGGAGTCTCCTCTCCTTCTTGGCCTCCTGCTATGGTGTCGGTGACCACAAAGTCTATGGGACTCTCAGTGGAACGGCCAATCTACAGAACAATGTTAATCAATATTATGCTGTTAATCAGTTTCTTGTGATCAGCACACTGGTATAGATGAGGACGCTCCTAATTCCCTGCAGATGTGTGAACTGTTCTGGCAGCTGAGCTTCGCCAATTTGGGGCAGCTTGGATTTTAATGCTGCAAAATCAAAACCACGCCGCTCTGTGTGTGGCCAGAAATGTAGAGACATTGCACATTTTGTTAAGCACATTATGTTCCTCTAATATGTATATGTATTAATAAGATTAGTTTTAATAAGACCACAAACTCCAACACTGAGACAATTCTCAAGCTGAACAAACAGAGGTAAAAATAAGCATTTCCTCTTTCATTTCCTCTTTTTTCTCCCCAGCTTCTTGCCCTGAAGACCGTTTTTTTTTGTAAACGGTTTCCCCTTCTCTGCTGTGTGTGTTATTCCAGTGTTGTCCAAACACACATGGACACAATACTGGGCTGAATGTGAAGCACGTGTCTGCGCTGCTAACTTCCCTCTTGTCACCGTCGCCCTGCTGTACGTTCAGATTAATGCTACAGACGGAGCGGCTGACGGCGCACACGGGGGCACATGGGCTCCCCGCTAACGTCTACGGTCGAGGAGGAGAAAACAACAGACTTTAAAGGCACAGCTGTTGTGATTTACTGCAAAAGTTTGGACAGTCATTAGAAAAATCAACAGAAAATACAATGGCAGCAATTTGGATTATGCAAAACACTGACTGAGTTTCTTAAATGTGAGGTTTTGATCTCCACCGTGTGTAGTATTGAGCTAGATTGTAGATTTGACCGTGAATGCGTCCCCCTCAGCTCTGGATCTGGTTTGTAGTGATCTGAATCAAACACAAAGGCTCCAACAGGTCATCCAAACAGCTCACAGCGTACCTGAACTGCCTTTTACCTGAAACATGTCCGTGTCTTTGTCATGGCTGTACTCCACCACCACCGTCTGGTTCCTGGACAGCGTGTAGGAGATGCTGTGTTGGCCTTTGCAGTTCACGGCCTGAAAACGCGACAAGCAACTCATAAATAACATGCTGGCGATACCGTAATTTGAACACCAACAAATTTATATCTTGAGCTGTTAAAGTACACGCACACAACAACAAAGCAGCGTTTCATTATTTTAGCGAAGTCGGGGGGGAAAAGCTTTGATGTCTCGGTTTGTGGCTTTAACACCGGATCTGAGAGTGCCAAAGGTTCACAAACAGGAACTGCATTAAAAAGTGGCTTACACAATCACTGCCTCTCTGGTGAGGCTAAATTAAAGACTAGGGCCAAAACAAGCCCATTATTAAAACACATGGCTCTCAATTGATGAGTCACATCCGAAGATTCAACACTGGCTGGCTGGAAAATATATGTATGTCCCCTCTAACTTATGAGAACAAAATGTAACAGGCTTTTCTTTTACCTCTCATACAATCTGGTTTATTGCGTAATTTCTTCGTCGTGTTACCTAAAACCAAAGGTCTGCGGTAGGAAATTCTGGAAGGGGAACAGAGAGAAGCATGTAAAGTCACACTCTCGTGACGGCGACCGTAAACTGCCCAGTGGCCTCGGTTAACACGGGCCCGTCCACCGGCTGAACAGCCTCCGTCGGCCGCCTTAAAGCCCGGGCCCCGGCTCTCATCAACACTTTTACCACATGCCACTATCATCCTGCTCTAATCTGCAAATTCCATTTCCCAAACATCCCCCTCCTCTCTGTCACGTGCAAGAGGGAAAGAGGGAGAGAGAGAAAGTGGGTCATCGGAGCTGCCACGCTCTGCTGTAACATCAGAGACAGACGGGGACAAATGTCATCATCACATGCAGTCTTGTCTCGACAGCGCTGCTACAAACAAATGGTGCCCCACCTGTTCGACGGCTAAACGGAGTTCACACACACACACGCCGAACACAAAGATATATTTTTATATATATACACCACGCCCCCAAAACATTCCCCCACCACCACCACGAATTGAAGGAGTCAATATTAAAACATTTTGAATAGGAATGGCTGGCAGTGGCATCATGGGAGCTCCTCATTATCTGTCATGAACACCAGCGTGTGCACAGACACGTGAGCGTTCCCTCTTAGCCACGGAGCATTCTCAGTTCATTCGTATGCTGCACTGTGAGGGAGCAAGAGTGGGTTGGGGACTGCTGTAGAAAAGGAGGAGATGGCTCGTTTCATTTCTGTGATTTAAATATTCAATCTTCCCCTCTCTTCACATCAAGTTCACCAGCCTGCTTGTCTCTTAAGGAAAAAGCTATTTTTGACCGTGTGCGACTGGGAGCAGAGGGTCGGCCTACTGCGACAGCTTCCTCCTGAGCTCACCCCCCCTGATCCCAGGCCTGGTAACAGGGTGGCGGCGAGGAACACGGTGGTGGAAGGGGAAAAAGGTCACAGCAGTTCCCATCGCTGAAACAGCCTGTGACTAATTCTCTGCATGGCACTCGGCGCTCCGTTGTGCTCGGCAGTAAAAACAGCCACATCCAGTGAAACAGTATTTCTTCAAACTCGCTGTGTTGTGAAGCAGCACAAACATTTAGCCGCGTTTCATTGACCACTGCAGTTCAAACTAAAAATGCACAATCTGTGCCGTGAAAAGGCCTCTGTCACAGAAAAACCTCCGAGCAGATATCAGGAGTCAAGTTCCACAAGGTGATCGTAACCCGAACCAGAAGGGCCTTCAGCCAGAAAGCTAAACTCCCGGCAAATGTCTGAAATATCGGCCTCCGAGTGGTGCAGAGGTAAGCAGGCCCTCTGTCTGTCTTGTTTAGCAGTTTTGCCTGGGACCCAAAGGCAGGAATGCAGGAAGGCAAACATGTTATACTGGATATGGCATTTTCTGGCAGGCGCTCCGGTGCAAAGAGAAGCTATGAGGCCCAGCGAGGAACTACAGCCATTGTAGTGGAAATGTCAACATTAAGGTCTGCCAACAATATTGTAAAGTGTTATACTGCACGTTCCACCAGCTACTGAACTCGCTGCTGCTCTGGAAAAAAAAAAAAAGAGAGAGTTTTTCGAGATTTTCCCTTTGCTGTGACTCCACTCCCTTACTCTGCTGTGAACAATACAAATCTAACTCAAATCAACTCTAGACATTTAAACCTACCGTCAATCCCCTTTGTCTCAGCATGCTGTTATACATGTTTGTCTAAAATACACATCAAAAGAAACGCAGACTGCTTTTCAGCCCCGCCGAGAGTCTGTTCATTAAATCGCTAATTCATCCTTTGTTCCGTACCTTGCTGGCCTGGGGTGTGTTGAGGATGTGCACAGTGCTTGGCTTGACACCATTGGCTTTGGTCCTCCTGTATAGCGCAAATCTGCTTTTCCGTCTACCCCGATCTCCGTTGGGCAGGGAGCCATTGTACCTGTCACAGAAGGGGGTGAGGGGGAAAAAAAGAAAACCAACAAAACGGTAAATTTTTCCTGTACGCAGTTTTTGGTAGCTGCACAAAGATACGTCTAATGAGATTTGCAGGCGAAATTCTTGTAATCACGTAACAAGTAAACACGGAGAATTAGAAACATTCATGTGTGTTGAAAAGGAGCTTTGCCACGCATTACATCACTGGCAATCTAATACACCCTATTAGTAATCTAAGCGTTACCTTGGATAATGTCTCTTATTACATAATGCTCTCTGGTGCTGGTGATTTTAGCGAGCTCGCTCTGTGTAAACTGCAGCTGTTCTTTTGCTCCGTGTCCCAGGCAGGAGCAGATTTTAAGATGCACGTCAGGTTTGCTACCACTTTGGGAACACAGCCTGGGTGGAGAACTGGCTCACACGACTGGAACACTTCTTTTTTTTCTTTTACTCCGAGCACAGTTTTATACACCGATACAGAAAGATCTGAATTTCAAAGCCTCAGCACAACCAGAGACGCATCGATTTCCAAATCACTTAATACCAGATTCCAGTTCTGCCCTTCAGTCTGCTCCTTGTGAATGGAGAAGCCCCTTCCGGTAGGACTGGTCCTCTCTCTATCCACCAGCTGGTTCCTACAGCTGGGACACCCCATGCTCTACTCCCATCCAACACACAGACCTTCTGTCGCACGCTCGCATGTAACCGCAGTACGCCGGACGCGCACGCTTTGATCGGCAGAAATATTTCGATTAAAAGCCTCAAGTTTGCATAGCGGCGGCACCTGAGGGAACGGATTCTACCGGCCGCTACATAATCTGACATTTCTGCTCTTTGTTTGGACACAAAAGCAACAGAGCCTCCTTCTGCTCCTCCCTACCTCCCTCCCAAGCTAGTCCACCTGTCTCATGTCTCCACACGGCTGGCCAGGCAAGGAAACACATGGTCCCAGTCAGCACAGTGCACAAAGCTGGCCTGTAGGACAAGCCACCCACAGAGCGATGGAGAGGCACTGGACGATTCTGTGGACAAACTATAGCTAATGCACCGACAGAAATAAAGAGTAAAATGGCAAAATGATTGCAGACCGATAACTGTGTTAGTGTTTAAAAGGTTTCAACTCCCCTATAAAGCCTTTAGCTAGAAGGTAGGCCGAATTAAAGAAAAGAAACGCCCAGTTTGCTGCTATGACGTCTGCACGAATCAGATATTGTAAATGTATTGATGAAAAATTCTAAAATAACTCCACATGAGAGAGAAATATTGATGAGCACACTTCTCATGCTAATTTAACAGTGTGCCACCACCTCTATACTCCAGTTTGACGAGACATGTCCTAGAAACTTCCCACCTAAATAAAGACCAGAGAGGCCTACATATTGTTCGGATGTCTATTCAGCTGAAGGGGGCCTATCGGCTGGCTACCTGCGCCTCAACGTCTCGCATAAAGCGCGCAATCAGATGACATGCAGCTTAGCGTTTTCCCCCCGTGATGAATTCTAACTGCAGAACACAACCCGAGCTCCGTAAGAAAATTGCCGCGCAGGCTTTCAATTATTCATCATTACATTAAGAAACAATATTCTGTCATCCAGGAACTGCCACCGTCACATTAGCTAGGACAGGCTCTTTAAAGCCGCGCTCCAACTAATTGTGATCGCTTTCCCTTTTGACCCGTGCCAGACAGACAGCGGATTTACCTTCCAATACTTAGGAGCAGGGATTAGAAGACTGGCATATCACCTATCCTCCAGGGTTGCGGTAAGGAGCCAACAGCACCTCCTACCTCTTATGCTAACATGAAAGGCTAGAATAAGGAGGAGATATGCTGAGTAGTTGTAACACTCATTAACATGGCTGGGAGGTAAGGGTGGTCTGTAGGGGTCACAGAGGATGGCACGGAGGTCAGGTGACGCTGCCACAGCCTAGAAATGACTCAGTCTGAACTGTACACCATCACTAGACAGATAAGGAAAGCTCTTCTTCATGGACGACTGGTATTTCTCACAACAATCTGTACCAAAGATGCCCCTGCGTTGATTTGTACACTTCCTTCACCGAGCAGCTCTTTATGGTGAGACGCGAAAAGTTCAATCAATAGGCCTAGTCTCCCGGCCACAATGGACAGAGGAAGCTGAGGAGAGGCAAACGCCGAGTCCTGATCAATCCATCCTTTCAGTTCCAGGATACCCATGCAGCCGCCCCCCCTTCACCCCCTTCACCCTTCCTCCTTTCACTGACCAGCACCACGCCAATCCGCCCCGGCAGAGATGGGGCAGCCATGCAAGTAATAAGAGCCACCACGGTCATGGCAACAAACCACTGAGGGAACTGCTGCTCAAACAAGCTTTGTTCCATGCTGTCAGCTATCTTGTCTACCATCAGTTTTATCAATGGGATGTGATGTCATGGCGGCGATTATACACCCGTCACATCTGATTCACATATGTGTCTTTATGTCAGGAAGGAGAACAAAAGTATCAGCTTCAAACATGCCACATGCTCAGCCTGGGGTAATAAGCAGTCAGCACTTTTTGTCCTTTACAATAAGCAGTATGAGTGAGTGCATGGGTGGAGAGCAGGGGGACAAAACCACACTCCACTCTGTGTATGCCCTTCATTAGCATCTCATTTCAAGAGCTTTGAACAAAAGCCGTATAAATGAAATTCACACAGCACAAAAACCCCCCCATAAGTGCTAATTATGAGTTTGATTAACTTTCAAGGGAGTGCCAGTAATGGTCGAAGTCCTGTCACTGATAACATAGCAGGTGTTTTCCCCCCCGCATCTGGGGCAGATAAAACCCGGGACAGTTCAATATAAACAAAATAGTTTGGAATGATGCAATTTCTGCTGAATAGAAACCCTGGAAAAAAAACACAGTAGTGGTTTTGAAATAGTGCTCGACATCAGCATGGAAAATGCCACACCGGCTGTAGTCGGTGACAAGATGAGACTTGTATATACTACTGCCACAATAACTGCGAGACTTTTTTTTTACAACACACAGGTGCTGTTTAAGATTTTGCAATACAAGTGCTAATTTGACAGTTGGAGTATCAACAGCTATTGAAACCTTACCAAAAGAATACGTGGAAAGAAAAGAGTCAACGGAAAGAATCAAGGATGTCATACTAGCGGCGTGTGTGTTTTTTTTTTATTAACCAGAAGATTAATCAGTGAAAACAACTGTGGCTTTATCTATCAGCTTTTAATACTCTGTGCCATTGATCCATTTTCTTTGTGCACTGTGATTCTATACCAGCCAAGTACAAAATCACCAACAGAAGTTTCAAGACTCTGTGGTATTTCAACATAAAATGTTCAAATCAGTGACAAGTATTGTGAAATTTAACCAAACACATACAGACATAGAAATAAGAAAGCTATCCAGATGTTCCAATTGCCATCACCACCTTACAAAAAGTGTTTCTTGACTGAGAAGCGTATAAAAAAAAACAGAACAAAAAAAAAGTTGAAAACAAACGCCGCAAGTTTCCAAGAAGAAAATCGCAAACAAACAATAATTTTAATGGTGGTGAATAATTTTCCTGAATAAAAAAAGAAGTGACTGGGCCGCAAAAAGGGAGAAATGGTGAAAATTGAAATCCCAAAGCCCAAGACGACGTCCTCAAATGTCTTACTTTGTCCACAAGTTTACTCTCACAGAGCAAAGAAACCATAAAGCTTAACAAGCAGGAATCACTGAATTTTGACTTCTTTTCCTTCAAAAAAAATGACTTTAACTGATTAATCGATAACCCAAAATAGTCGGCAAGCAGTTTAACAGTCGATTATTCCCTGCATCTCTGATTTTGAGAGAGTTTGAAATATTGTCTTCTAACTTTTACTGGGACTTTGTGGGCGAGGATACACACAATCTGATTTAGATTAACTGTAGAAGAAGTTCCCTTTGTCTTCCAGGAAATGTATTAAAATCACAGCACACATAGATATCATAAAACACAGAGGACTTGATTCACATCTACCTGATCAGTAGGTAAAGCAAAGAGAACAACTTTTAGTGTTGAGATGATGTGATTTTTAGCTGCTTCATGCAACAATAAACTGCAGGATGGTGTTTGGATGCTAAGAAAGAAAAGTCACATAGTGTGTAGCAGTGAGCCACTGATAGCACTGAGAAAAAGGGAAGAAGCCTGGGGGCTGGGGGAGGGGGACCATCACTACTTCCGAATTCCTAAAACCCCATGAATCCAACTTTAAGGTGGGCAGGAGCTTCTCCGGCCGGAGCCGCTGAGTGTGAGCCTCATTTCAGTCCAGGTTACTAAAAGTTGTCCCGGACGAGTCCATTTGATGGGGGGCTGGTATGTGCGGATGTGTTTTTTATTCCCGGTTATCAGGGAACGAAACGTCGCCACCAAAAAAAAAAAAAAAAAACTCCCAAGAAACGCCAATGTACACATTAGTGAGTGCGCACGTGTCTAAATTTGTGGAGTAACGTGAGCCCGTCGGTTTCTAAACTGGGCGCTTTCCCTGCATACATACAACGTCGCCTGTGTACTAGTAGACCTTTGCCTTACATAAGACCAGAAACCGAACTTCATTTTAAGGGAACTTGGGAGTCCCGTTGCCGAGTTACCGACCCGAGTGCGCTCTTGTGAAGTCTGAATATAAAACACTCTCTTTCGCTTTTCAGGTAGAAATGAGTCCACAAAAATAAATAAATCTCAACTTACCCCAGCACCACCAGCTCTCCGTACTTGACCGGGTCTTTGGACGGGGCGCAGTGCTCCTCTTGGCTTGACGAAAACATGAGGCTTCTGGCTTCACTTTAGCTGTAACGGTTAATGCCAAAATTAACAACGAGGGTTTTCCCGTCAAAAACAACGACGTGCGCTCATCTCAGGTCGCACACACGCGGCGGCTTGTGTGTCGGTTTGCCCACCCGAATCCAGTTTTTTCTATAAATAAACTGCTTCTCAAACTTCCTCAGCGTGACATGGCAAAACGTAACTTACTTGGCGGTTGAATCCGCTCTAAAGCAGATACAAAAACAGCGAGGAGCAGGGCCGGAACGTACCACTCGCTTCTTCTTTACTTTGTGTAGGGGGGGCTCTTCGAACAACTCTGTGTTTAAACCCTTATGTCCGGCAAAACCTATCACATATACATATTCAAACTAATTGAAATCACGCCTTAAACTGATTTGCGTTTGATTTATTCTCCAAAAAAACAGCAATCGATCCCAAAGTGCAACCGTCATGATTTTTCACCACCCCACAGGCTCCATGGTTCGCACCTTGTGTTATGTAAACAAAGAGTACAATCTGGGAATTCTTAAAGGGATCATACTTTTTCTGATATGTTTGCAAAGTTTCCAGTTTCATACATATAGGAAGAGGTTTTTTATAGCAGTTTTTCTTCGTTGAATTCTCCTCATGCAAACTACAGGAGTCACTTCTGTGTCAGTAAAACGCCTTGAGGATCACATGATTTTATTAGTATAAAAATACACACAGGCCTGAGTGAGGCTACTGAATATGGAGCAGTAATGCTGGGAAACACATGCAGGGAAAAAAACCCTCATGCTACATTTCCTGACTGAGATAACGCGCAGACAGTGAAAAGATGGTGAAATCAGATTTGCTCATTTTGTTGGTGGCCCTGTGGGCTCCTCAAAGTGCTTTATTTCATTATGACTTTATTGCAGTTGGCTGTGTGATCGATTATGCAACCTAACGACATCCCTATTTATCTGCATGCCTGGAAGTTTAATTTTCAGATTACCATTGCTCATTTTGATCATTTCATTTTGTTGTCTAGCTTCTTATTTTCATCTCTCCTTTCTGCGGGTTGCGGCCCTACGGGCACATGCTTATTTCATTCTGTAATATCTTATCAGTTGCTTGGCTGTCTGGCCATGTGAGAAGATGCAAATCAGTCTAATAATAACACCAAGGCCCAGTAATTTGCTTAATTGCTTCTTCTGAGACTGACTCTCAGACATTCTAATGTAACCGAACGTCCACACCTAATGTGAGGATGACAAGAGCCCCTCAGCCTCCGGTGTCTCCCCTCTTCCCTTATCCCACACGTCCAGTTGTTCTCACGCCTTTCTGATGAATGTGCCACTTCTCCACTTTTGTCTGGCCGTCTCATCAACACTTTACTGCCTCTGCCTTGTTTTCACAAGAAACTGCATGGCTGGAGGTGCTCTGGCTGTCTCAGGCCCCTTCAGTGGCCCTGTTGCCTCGGCAGTTATGGCCCTCTGTTTGAACTGGTGTTCAGTTTCAAAGTGCAATAACACTTGACACAAAAACAAAAGGTAGCAGGGGGTCACTGGGGTCCACCGAGATATTTGCCTCCCCACCCCTACGTGCTGCAACTTCAAACTCCTGCAGTTCAGTCAGATACAACACTGATGTAATTTCCATTTGTAAGCTCAAATAGTTGGCATTTGTTGGTTCTGTTCATAGCTGCACATACTTGTCCATTAATAGCACAGATGAGGGAACTTCAGCTTCTTCGGCAGTTGCGCGTGAGGATCAAGCTGCATTAGGGCCATAACTACAGGGCCAGGGGCTGGCCTTAATGCTGGGGGTGTAATGAATGTTTACTGCTCTTTTGTGTCACTGTCTCTTTCCGCTTTGCTTTCATCCACTGGGCATTGTCTGTGTAAAAGAGCACTAGAGTCTTTTCTACGTCTGTCTGACTCACCCTCCTGCACACACACACACACACTAACACACACTAACACACACACACAGTAGGGTTGGGGGGGTGGGGATCAAAGGCTCTCTAGCACATACCACACTGATGGAGAGCAGATGCAGGGAGTGGGCTGCTTTGCTGAAGTTGTGCTGGCGTAGCGTGAGTGCAAATCTATGTTTAGGAGGAGGAGTCAAATGTTACCAGACAAGAAGCATTCAGAGCAGAGGCCTACTGCAACAAGCTAAATTGTACATTTGAGTCTCACGAGTGCGAGCAGTGATGACAAAGGAAAGACAAAGCCCCTATTAACTTCCCCACTGCTCTTTGGCAGGCTTTACACGTCACACTCTCTATGCAAGCGACCGGAGAATGCGCAAGTGTGTAACCTCAGGCAGATTTATGGCTGGGTTCTCCCACATTTCAAAATCTTTCATTTCCCCGAATAGGATGACATGTCAGGTTTTCCCGAGATCTGCAAGACACATTATATTGGATATAGTGTCAAAACTGTAGAAGAATTTTCATCACAAGTATATCATCATACAATGAAATGTATTTCCAACAAGTCGTGTTCTGTTAAGAGGAACCAGGGCATGTGCATTAATGATTGTATATTAGAAAGCAGCTATTTTACAGTGTATGGCACAGCAGCCTACAGCTTTGAGAGTCACTCCCTGTGTGATCCAGTCAACGAGTAGATTGAAGATGCTGCGGCTCATGTTTTGTCGCGAAGTTTCCATGAAGGTAAAAGCCAGATCTCCAATCAGCTGACTGCAGCATGACAGTGTGGGAGAATGTGAGGAATGTGCTGATCCCATGTTGCTCGCGCTCCTGACCTGAGCACCCCCCCGCCCCCAGTCAACACAACAGTGCTGTTGTTTTAAAGGCCTTTTAACATGCAAAAGATGAGAGCAAGAGCTTTCTGTGTAGAAAAAGTCAAGTCAGGTCCAGACAAACAGAAGCTGTATTTATCTTTTTTAATAAAACAGGAGGCTGGTTCTGATGAGGATAATCTAAAGCACTAAAAATGACAAAAACACACCCAGAGGACATCTGTGCATCTTTGCTCTCATATTCATGTTCTTCAAGGGCTTACAATATTCTTTCTTATGAAATCCTTCAGTGTCAAGTGGCTGTAACAGAGTGATATTTTCCTACATTACAGCCGACACAGGAGTTGTCCTTGGTGAGCGATGGATTATTTTAGCTTTCAGTTGCATTCTCATTTCCTTTCACATCTTCTTACTGATGGGAAATATTTTGTAAAACCTCATGCAGACGCTGAAAAAAAGCGTCCTGTTCTGAGGGATTATACAGCATGTTACCATCACACGAAACTGGTCACACCCCAAGTGTTCCATAATTGAAGCTTCAGAGAGTCAAGCTTCTTAACCGTCATACAAAACACTTACCTAAAATAACACCGCTGCATGACAAACATGTTTATTGTGTATTGCCAAACTGATTTTACCTCCCAGCAAAAGCAACATGAGCAAAAGCTTTGTAATTTCCATGTACACATTCAGGTTTTTCAAGGCTATGAATCATATCCGTTTGAAATTTCAACTGAGGTTGTGTGCTGCCCCACAGTGGTGACGAACAAGAAGTGCAGGAAAAGGAAAAGAAGAAACACAGGACCCCCGACAGATTTATCAAGCATCCCTTTTATTAACATCACCCGTTACAAAAAGAACAAAATCTTCAGTGTTAATGAATTTAGCAACAATATAGCGAGTGTTGATTACAGATGATATGGGACGCTTATTCCTAGAGTAGTTGCAGAAGGATTAAAAACCTCTACACTGTTGACCTGGCCTTCTCTTTGCACAGCCAGGGTCACGGACTCCATTCTCTTTGGAGCTGCAGTACAGACTTGAGTACAATTTGTCCATGCATCTCCGTAGTTACAGTCACGTAGTGACCCTTCTGATATGCTGAGACCTCTTCTGATCTCCCTTCTCCCACCCAGTACTGAGCCAAGTTATGCATGGAGCTATGAATGCACGGTGATGCACAGTTTGTGATAGTTTTCTGGTCAGGAGGCAAACAGATCAACAACATAGTGTATTTCAGCAGGTCCTAACTGGTACATTTAAACAATACATATCTTTAAGTTAAGAATATAAGGACTGAAAACCCAAAGTTCGCTTAGTCAAGTTGGAAATTTGTATCACTGCCCTCGAGACAAATAACAACAAAAACTACTGCAGTATTCAAAAGGAGTTCATTGAAAAATACAGGCATTTTAAAACAGAGGAATGGTTGCCACACAGTTTAAATTATGCTGGATGTCATTATTAACTTTAGAATAAAAATTAACTGGTGATGCTGCTAAAGAAGAGGAATGTGGTGGGAGTGGCGTAGTGTGGGTTTTGGTATAGTGCCTGGAGTGTCTGGAATTAACAGTAGACTCTGCCTGCTCCCTTGTTGCCCTCAGTGAGTCTGGGAGTGGTTTACCAGTGCCTCTGCCACAGTCAGATGGAGGCGTTCTACAGTACAGGTGAGGTGATCAAGATTGGGAGGGAGGAGGTGGCTAGGTGCGACAGTATGGTGTGATGTGGTGGTGATGAGACCGAAGGTCAAAGGTGGCCTCTGTGGTGCAGTCAGGCTGGCTGCATGGGGTTGTTCCTCCTCTCACTATACCTTGGGCAGATCTTTGTCAGCCTCCTGAGGGGAAACGGCACATTTAGACTCTACATTCAAACACACTGTTGTAATAGGAAAGACGGGACGTTATCTTATTGCCAGTAACAGGAACACAGCCTTACCCCCTCCTGTCCCTTAGTGAGTTGCCGGCTGACGGCTTGTAGCAGCTGCTGCAGTTCACTGACTGTTTGATTAAGTCCTGCAGTCATTTTCTCCTTTCTGTCAATCTCCTCCTGCCAGAGACACAAAGCACCGAATGTTACAAAACACAACTGTTAAGAGGAAGCCGTGTTACGACACCCAAAGCGGCCACAGACACTCACTCTCTGTGATGACAGGCTGCTGTTCTCTATCAGGTCATCAGCGTTGTCTGTCACATTCGAGAGCTCCCCCTGGATCAGATCGAGAGACTGCTGCGCCTGTGTCAAGAACCGCAAAGTTAGACTTGTTAACAATGTGGCCACAAGTCCAAGCTTCATCAGCACCGTAGGGAGATGCACAGTTTTTACCTTGTACAGGTCACCGGCGACTTTTTGCCTCTCGCTCTCCTCTGCCTCCAGCTTGGACAGCGTCTCAGTGAGCTGGGTTTTTAGCTGGAATCAAAACAGAAAGTCAGCGCGTTGTACAGCACATGACGGCCTCCCAGTGACAGCCGTAAATCC